GAGATATGAAAGAAGGTGCACCCGGTACTGTAGAAGGTAGCCTGACATTCAGTGTCATCTTTAAGAAGCCAAGTCTCTGCAGAACTAGAGTGGGGCATGGGAGGGGAAGGGGTGAGAGTTTTCTTTGTGAATAGACCACTTTACATAGGGGAATAAATGGATGAGTTTCATAGTTTTCTTGATTATAAGTCCTGCGTTTCTTAGGCAAGAATTTCTGTTGAGTTTTCCTTTACATAAACTTGGAAATGTATGTTGCCTGTTATTCTTTTACCTAGTAATATCATAGCTATACGTATGACTACTTTAAAAAAAATTGAGATTATCTGTCCTTATTTCTTAAGCTATTTTATTTGACAGATTATTGCTATTTTGGCTCATACAGCTTATCCTGGTTACATGAGAGTGTTTGGAATAATGTTTATAATGCCAAAGGTTTAATCATAAGTTTTTAAATGTTTCACTTAGAGTAATGGATGGAGACAGGTACTGGATCTGTGATTTCATCATATAGAGAACTTCCAAGGAAAGAAATTTCCTCTGCCAACAAAGATCAGCACGTCCTGTGCAACTTTTAGTATTAGACTGGAAGGTTGAGTGACTTACCCAGGGTCATAGAACAATTATATGACAGAGGTAGGGCTAGAACTCAGGTCTTCCTGGCTTCAGGGCCTGCTCTCCATATACTACACATCTACTAGGGAGACTTACCCACAAGATCAAAGATCTTCCCTAATCAGAAGAATTTTGTTAATCTTAATCCCTTGCCATGTTCATCCTTAGGCGTATTTGCTTTTTGCATAGCATCAATTATTGGAAAGCCCTGATTTGTGTCATTGAACAGTCAGTCTCGTGGGTTCTTTTTTTTTTTTTACTTTTTAGGAATACAGGGATTTAAAAAAAAATTAACAGGCATTTATTTTCTCTGGGGTAGAGGGTGGAGAGGGGATAACAGAGCCCTTCTAACAAATATACATTGTCACAGAAAACAAGGGAATTTTTCCCCATCTTATACAACATTCTGTTCAATGCATGAGGTTTCTGTTTAGCCGTATAGATCTTTGTTGCCTGCTTTTGATCACTGAATAATCATGTCATAGGATTTAGCCCTAAAAGAGACTTAGAACTCTCCAAGTCCAACCCCCTTCCTTTATAAATAATATTCTAAATATAAAATGATAGGTAAATAAACCTTTATAAATAACCTTCACTTAAACATATTTCTAGATAATTCATTCCTTTTGTACATTCATTGCATACATTATTTTGTGCATTTTGTTCATGACACATCAGTAGTTCTGGAGCGTGTACTCCAGTTTTTCTTTTTCTTCCTTGGCCTAATTTTCAATTAATTGATAAGCATTTATTAAATACCTCTTATCTCCGTGCTGGGGATACAGATGCAGAAAGGAAATGTTTCCTGCCCTCAAGGAGCTTACATTCTGTTGGGGAAATATGTATACATAAAAGTACATTCAAAATACATACAAGGTAAGTTTGGGGACAAGACATCATCAGCTGGATGATCAGGAAAATGCCTCATGTGGAAAGCAGGTGACACTTAAATTGAGTGAAGAAAGCCAGGAATTCTAAGAAGTAGATAGAGCAAGAGAATAGTTTGTGCAAAGAAACAGAGGAGATGTGGCAGGCAGGCTAGTATGACTGGAGGGGACATTTGTGTCGAGAGAGAGAGAGGAGCCAGGCTATGAAGGAGTTTGTATTTAATCCTAGAAGTAATAGGAAGCCATTGGAGGGAAGTGATGTATCAGTCCTCTGCTTGAGGAATATCCCTTTAGCAGCCATGTGGAGAGTAGTTTAGAGAGGGGAAGAGACTTGAGGCAGAAACAGCAGTTAGGAAGCTATTGCAATAGTCTAAGCAAGAAATAGTGAGTACCTGAACTAGAGTGGTGGCTGTTATTGGAAGGAAGGAGACAGAGATGAGAGATTTAGTGGAGGTAGAATCAACAAAACTTGACAACTGCTTGGATATTTTGGCTGACTGATCAAAATTGACCTTGCAGACCTGACTAGAAGGTGGAAAGTGTTCTCAACAGCTATAGAGAAGTTTGTAAGAGAATGGGTTTGGGGAAAAGATAACGAGTTCTCCGAGTAATGGAAAAACCAATGAAGACAGGAAAAGAAATAATGAAATATACCTCCTCTCTAAAAACAGATAGGTGAGGGGCTATAATGTTTTTGCTTAACTTTTTTTTTAAAAAGAAAGATAATTAATGAGCTCTCTTTTTTTAGACTGGTTGAGTTTGAGAAATATCCAGTCAATCAACAAGGATTTATTAAATACCAACTCTGTGACAAGCACAGTGCTAGAATGAAACACTCCGTGCTCTCTGCAGGAAATTGATGATACAGAACTGGCGCTAAAGAGAAAGGAGGAGACAGGATATATAGATCTGGGAGTTGTCTGTTTAGATATGATAAATTGAACCCATGGGAGCAGATGAAGTACCTGAGAGAGTATAACAGGAGAGAATGTGAAATCACTACTGGAAGGGGTGGACAGAGAGGCAGATTCTTCTGAGAGAAGCCAGGTCTGTATGAGTGCCAGAAGATTGAAGAATCACATAAGGAAGAGAGGTCTAAGATGAAGTTGGTTAACAAGGATTCCAGAGGATAAAATTTAGCCTCTGGAGGTTATAATGGAAGGAGGTAAGCAGATTCAGGATGAAGACCTTGGGCTGAGGTGGAAGTTATATCATTCTTTTGTTACATTAGGTATCTATCCATTTATACCAGTTACCTTTAAGAGATGTCTAAGGTTAAAAATTTTATGGTTTTTTTCTTTGTTTTTTGCTTTTGAACAGTAACATTAAATGAATCTTTAAAAGATTAGTTGAAGGGGCAGCTAGGTGGCCCAATGGATAGGGCACCGGCCCTGGAGTCAAGAGTACCCGAGTTCAAATATGGTCTCAGACCAGACACTTGACACTTAACTAGCTTTGTGACCCTCAGCAAGTCACTTAACCCCAGTTGCCTCGCCCCCCCAAAAAAAAAAGATTAGTTGAAGTAAGAATAAATAAGCCCATTTTTTTCAATGACATACCACTTATAAAAGTGGCACAGAAGAATTTCTGAATCTTTTAAAACTTAGTAAGATATAAACACTATCATCTCCTATAAACAGGCAGTTTATAGTATGAATCAAGCCAAGAGTGCTGCTAAAAAATTACGTACTCCAAAAATGAGACCTCTTTAAAAAGAAGAAATACAATTACAGCTATATTCTGCAAAATAATTAATCAAATTAGCATTTTAAAATCCCTATTGACCTGTTCGGGAGAAATAGGCAGCATGGTTCACTGGGAAGAGACCTGGACTTGTAGCTATGAAAGCCGGACTCACATCCTGCCTCTACCACCTGAGGACTGTGTGGCTAAAGGTGAGGCGCTTAGTTTCCTCATCACTCTTAGGTTGTCTTAGTAGACAAGTTTTAGAGCTACCTGAGTCTTGGAGGAAGTTCCATGATTTGCTTTTGCCCACAACCACACAGCTAGTGTTAGAAGTCAGATATGAGCAAAGATCTCCCTGACTCCAAGACCAGCATTCTGTCCACTAAAGTACACTGTCTCATCTGTAAAATAGGGATAATAATGCTTATACTACCTTCTTCACAGGGTTGTTGTGAAGAAGGTTTCTGCCCTACAAAAATGCAAAGCATCAGAAGTTAATGGGAATCTTGGGGATGTGGGGAGATGTAGAATAGCAGACATAGAGAAGTTGAGTATTTTGTGACTGAGCAGGCTAAACATGTATGGGTCATTCTCAGTTGTCCTCTTTCTCTCACCACAAACCCTATCACACACCTGTTTTCTCATTCCTCACTTAAGGCAGCCACATGATTAGTAAAATTTGAAAAACCCTGCTATTTAGAAAGATTCACCACCACCACCATGTGCCTCCTTTCTAATACTCCCTCTCTTCCGTTGAACTCTTGGGAACCCTAACTGCCCACACCAACCCCAAAGTCTTCTCTCTTCAGGCATAATCAGAACCTAAGAAGCACAACACAGACTCTTGGGGAGGGAGCTCCCCAGGAATTTCCTCTTGGCAACAACCAGTGGGTCCTAGACATCTAAGGGGAAGAAGAGAGAAATGATGGGTTTTGCAATGAGATCCCTCTTTCTGAGTGATTAGACAGGCAAGGGAACACCTTTGGGCATTTGCTGGAGCTTCAGTCTGGAAGGATTGGCCTCCTTGCTTTCCAGCCCCAAAGGCAGATGTAATAACTAAGGCTCCTCCAGCCTTCGAAGAAGCTCCATGGGAGGTAGATCATTAAGACGAAGCAGGGTCTGGTACTAAGATTTATTCATACTAGATTGGAGATCATAGATTTAGAGTTGAGAGAGATCTTGAGGATAAACCATTGAGTCCAGTCCTCATTTTACAGAGACACTAAGAAGGCACGTGATTTTCCCAGAGTCACAGAGCTACTAAGTGTCTGAAGGAAGATTGGAACCCAGGTCTTCTTTACTGCAAGTTCAGTGCCTAAACTACAATGCCACATTGCCTCTCACTTTGAATCTTTGAGTACAAAGTACAGCCTGTGCCTGGACAAATCAAATACATCATTTTCCATTGTATTTTTGAAACTTTTTCTTAAATTTTTCAGGCATTTGAGGGGGAAGAAGGATAGTATTTATTTGCTTAATTTAATTCGATGTAGTTAGATCTTTTTAATATGAAAAACATTTTTTCTTATTGCAAAGGCACATGTCAAATCTATAATTTATTGTTAACTATTTTTTATAAAAATGGAGACTGGATCTTCAAAAGGAGTAGTATCAATATCAAATTTTCTGCAGTTTACTTTTTTAGTTTTATTCAGCAGGAAAATTTTAACCCTTAATCTTTATGTAAGAAGAAGCTGAAATTTTAAAAATTAATGTTTAAATAAAATATACCTATATAAAAATTTGTGCTTTTTAAAAGAACCCCTTCTGTGTGCTTAATTATGTAATATTTCTTTGAATTTTGCTGTCTTCAAGGTGGTGATGAAACATAATGCTGTGATAGAACACTTAAAACAAAAAAAGACTATGACTCCCGCTGAAAGAGAAGAAAATCAGAGGTAGGAAAAATGTTTTTAAATGTTAGAAAAGGTTACTCTGTCAAAGTGTTCATCTTTCTTCCCCTTTGACTAGCACACCAAGAAACGAATTCTAATTATTACATAGCTTTCATATATTTTCTGTGTTTGGACTAAAATTCATTCTGTTCTTCTTGGTATATTCTGTGAATTTTTTTATTTTACAATAAACTAATGAACTATTTATTATTGCCCCTGCTACTGGGCAGAAGATATTGAATGTTGAGATAATAAAAATAGATGACTACATAATTGGAGTTCATATAAACTTTGCTCTTTTAAAGTACTGTTCTAGACATGTTAAAATATTTCCAGACATAGTTTCTGTTAGATAGTATTGTCTGTAAGCACCTAGAAAAGTCATTGGTGCCTAAAATAGTTTAGACATTTTTGCTATAATAGCCCATCAGTTCAGCATTATGTACCTTGTATGTTTTTTCTTAGAATGATAGTCTGTAACCAGGTGATGAAGTTTATTTTGGATAAGATAGATAAAGAAGAAAAACAGGCAGCTAAGAAACGAAAACGGGAAGAGAGTGTGGAACAGAAGCGTAGCAAGCAAAACGCTACCAAGCTATCAGCTCTGCTCTTCAAACATAAAGAACAACTCAAAGCTGAAATATTGAAAAAGAGAGCACTACTAGACAAAGATCTTCAAATAGAAGTGCAGGTAGGAAGAGATTTCTTTCATTTTCCTTTTATGTCAGATATCCATCCATCTTGTAAACTATTACCTTGAATTTTTAGTTAACACTTGTTTCCTTAAATTAACTTTTTAAGTCTGTAAATAGTATAATTATAAAATAATTTTATGTTTTTAGCCAACATACCAGAATTTGTACATTCCATTGATTTTCAGCCACTCACTTCAAAATTATCTAGTTTATTCTATTTGAAGTGGTCAAGACATTCTGAATTCCTTTGAGAGCCTTTGACACATTCTTTTGAGTATCCTTTTTGGTGGCAAATCTTTGCTCTTTGGTGATGGATTTGATTTTTTTAATATAGACAAAAGCAGTTCCAAGAGAAATCAAAATTAGATTGGCTGTCAAATTAAGTAACAGCATTAAATGTCAAAAGAAGAAAATCCATGACTATAAAGTAACAAGTTGGCTCTTCTTACATCATTACTGTATCAACGTTGAAAGCATTCCCAAAATGTTTTAACCAGTGGCAGTGTTATTGGAATAAGTATATATCCTGTCAAGGTAACTAATTTGAGGGGCAACATTCACTTAAATGTGTAAGTGGCGATGTGTTCAAAATACAGTATATCAACAGCTTATACATCGTGAAAATTGAACTGATTCTAATAAAACTTTCTTTTCCTGTCTTAGGGATGTCTTGGCCTGTTGTAGCCACAAACGTGAAGAATAATCTTTTACCTTAACTATCATTTAAACCTTATACCTTCCAAGTACATATGACTTTTTTTTTTCCTTTGGTCTGTGGGGAAAAATCAGACTATCTTCTAAACTTATAAAAACTCCTAAATGGCCTAGTTACATTATAGGTTACTGTTAATCATTCATCTTTATGCTTCCTAGCCTTAGGAAAGAAAAGAAATAGGATTGTTTGCCTTGCATCTTAAATGATTACACATCTGCAGTTTCTGAGATTTTATCTTTGTCATGATAATTCTAAGAGCTCATCCATCAGTGAATTTTTCGTCTTAAAAGGTCCAGGTGAAAATATCTAGGACAGAACTTGCCACTTTGTCTTTGGTCATTACTCAGATCTACCAGCCAAGTATCTTCCTTAATTTTTGACAAATCTTTGAAATTCATTTTTCTTTCTTTTCGAAGAGCTTTGCCTCATATTCATCAGGTCTGTGTGCTGTGACCTCCAAAATATTCTTGGCTTCTGCAGGTCTAGAGACAATTTAGAATAAAGTAAATTGACCCTGCTACTTTGAACTTGAATGAATCTTTCCTCTTACTAAGTCAGCAGATATTAAGAGCCTGTTGTAAAATGAACAACCTCTTGATCCTTGCCTTTAAGAACCTTACAGTCTAATGGGAGGGGTGACATGTACACAGATATGATACAAGATAGAACATGATAACAACAGAAGTATAAACAAAGTACTGTAAGAAATTAGGGAAGAAAGATCAATTTTATCTGTGAGGATGAGCACAGGCTTCATGGAAGAGGTGTTACTTAAGCAGGGCCTTCAAGGAAGAAAAGGTAAAGGTAAAGATAAGGAAAAAATGCGTTGTATGCATAAATATGCACAGTGTAAAAAGAAATTCAGGGATCAGTTAGTAATACATACTGGAAATTAAAATACATTAAAAAGAAGCTGGAAAGGTAGATTGAAACCAAACTGCAGAGACCTTAAGTACTTAGATAAGGAGTGTGTATATTTTATCTTGTGGATATTTAAGGACTTTGAACAAAGAACTGACATAATCAAACTGGTACATGAGGAAGATTATTTTGGCAGTTGTATGACAGATCACATAAAGCATTAAAAGACTAAAAGCAGAGAGACCAGTTAGATGGCTACTACAGTAGTCCATACAAGAGGTGATGAACTAGAATGGTAGAGAAAGAGAATTGATATGAGATACTGTGGAGATAGAATCATAGGACTTTGTAATGCATTGAATGTGGGGAGTGAGGGAGAAAGAAAACTCAAAAGATGACTCTGTGGTTTCAGATCTAGAGGATTGTGATAGTGAGGCCAGCAATAGAAATAGGGAATTTAGGAAGAAGAGAAGGTTTAGAGGGTAAGATAACGAATTCTCTTTTGATCGTTTTGAATTTGAACTGTGGATGGAACATGTAGGTAGGGATTTCTAACAGATAGTTTACAAAACTCAGGGGAAAGAATAATGCTGGAAATAGAAATATGAGACTCAGAGATTATAACTGAACTCATGGGAACTAAAAAGATCACCCAGGGATAGGGAAGGAAAAAAGGGCAGAAGGCCAGAACCTTAGGGACACCCACACTTAGTAGGTAGAAAGAGAAAGTTGAAGTGTCAGTCAACAAACATTTATTAAATGCCTCGTATGTGCTAGGCACACTGGCTGGGGGATGCAAAGAAAGGCAGAAGTCAGTCTCTGCTCTCCAGGACCTCAAAGTCTAATGGGGAAAATAACATGAAAACCTCTATATACAAACAAGCTATAGAAAGGATAAATGGGAGCTGATCAACAGAGGGAAGGCATCAGCATTAAAAGAGATCAGGAAAGGCTTCTTGGAGAAAGTAAGACTTTAGCTGGGACTTGAAGAAGCCAGGAAGTAGAGATGAGGGAGAGAGAGAATTCCAGACCTAGGAGACAGTGCCCAGAATTGGGAAATGCACAGTATAGTGCAAGGAACAGCCAGGAGACCAGTGTCAAAGGGGTGAATAAGGTGTAAGATGTGGTTTATGAATACCAACCTGAGGATTTTACATTTGATGTTAGAAGTAATAGTGAGTCATTGGAGTTTTTTGAGCAAGATATCCATCTTTTATTGTCAGACATGCCCTACTTTGACAGCTGAGTAGAGGATAGACTATAGTGAGGAAAGATTTGAGGCAGGCAGAACCCATCACCAGGCTATTACAGTAGCCCAAGTATGAAGTGATGAGGGCCTGCACCAGGGCAGTGTCAGAGGAGAGAAAGGGGTGTAATATGAGAGATGTTATAAAGGTAAAGGTAACAGTCCTTAGCAACAGATTGGATAGTGATGGGGAGAGGGGACTATGAGAGAGGAGTTATGGATGCCACTTGACACAATACAGTTGGCCCATAAGTACCCTCGCAGTCACCAAGGCAAAAGAATGTCCCTCTTGCTTTCAACATACATCTATCAGGAATTCTTAATCTAGGTAAGGAGACAGCAAAGAGGAGAGGAACATAATGGGTAGATTAAAGAGATGGCTATTCTGTCAACCTTCTATACTTAGGCATAATATTAATAATAAGCTAGCATTATGTAGTGCTTTTTTAAGGTTTGCAAAGCACTTTGCAAGTATCTAATTTTAATCTCATAACAGTTGATGAAAGGTAGGTGCTATTATCCCCATTTAATGGATTGGAAAATCCAGGATGATAATGAAGATTAATTGATTTGCTCAGGAGCGCAAAGCTAATGAAAAGCTGAAGGCAGACTTGAATTCAGATATTCCTGGCTCCAGGTCCAGCATTCTATTCACTCTGCCATCTGGTGCTGTAAGTAGCTACCATATCAGTTCAAATTTTGACCTCCTACAAATTAAATCACATCCCTATTATGAGATATTTAAAAGTAAAAATTTATATTTATTGGCATACTTATATCATTACTTGAAGGTTCTGTAATTTTATCACTGTGGATCTTCCATCCACCAATACAGATTACAACTTTTCTATAACTTAGGTAGGTCTTTGAGAATTACTGTGGCAAAAAAAAAAAAGTCTTCACTCTATAGCCAATCTAGTTCATGTAGGCTGGTCCTCATTCATTCACACACTCACCAGGCCCAAACTTTTAAAGGCCTTACAGCTTTGGTAGAACCTACAAAACTTGTGTTTTACTGGCATAAACTTTGCTATCCCTGAGTCATCTCCCCAAAACAATAAGGTACAGAGTAAGATTTTCGTGGAGGATACATAGAATATACTAAAAATAACACTTATGTAAGGGGCATTTTCATCTTACCAAGCTAGATTAGAGGGAAAATTAACCTACAAACATTTTCAACTATCCTAAAAACAGGTTTTTTTTCTTGATGTTACCATCCCCTCAAGCTATCATTTATCCTATATCTTTCATCACTTTCATTGCTAAATGTCTAGAAAGAGTGTACAGTTGCTTGCTACCCACTTATTCAGCCTCCTCCACTGTGGATTCCATCCCTGTCTCTCTAAGGGAATCCCTCTCTCCAGAATTTTAATTTTTTATTTGCAAAGCAGGTGGCTTTTTCTGAATTATATTCCTTCTTGACCTTTCAGCAGCACTTGGTGTTATTTAACTCTCTCTTCTGGATAATGTCCTCTCCCTTAGCACTCCCTGGCACTGTTTTTCCTGGATCTCCTTCTACCTATCTGACTAGTCCTCAGTCTCCTTTACTGTCTCAGTTTTCTCCTTCTACCTTTCACATTTACTTAGAGAAAAATAAAGGATCAGTTCAAACTTTGCTATGTGGTTATTTTATAAAAGATAAGTGGTATCCAGATAATTTCCCTAAATTCAGAGAAGACTAGCAAAATTTTTGTTTAAATATCTTAGTTAACTAAGTGAGAGGCAGCATGAGGTAATGGATAGAGAACCAGCTTTAGAATTATAGAGACCTAGTTTCAAGGAAACCATGAACTGGTGATTTGACCTTTTCAGTGCTCTAAAGCAGCTTGCGAAGACTCTTAAATTACCAACAAGTTACTAATCTACAGAGGTAGAGGGAACAACCACCCTGAGGAAATCACAGGTCCCGACCAAAGGATAATAGTGGTTTGAGGATGCATATTTATTTTGAACGGGTCAAATTTATGATACATTTGACTTGTTTTGGTCTCATACTATTGATGTGCTTTATTATACCTTGAAGCCACTTATGTAATCAATGAGTGTAGTATTTTATGTCTATTTTATTAGGATTTGGAGTAATTACACATTTAATTATAAAATTTTAAAGTTATATCTTGGCTTTTATGACATGGCTGGTCATATCCCTGTATTTGATACTAAGTCCTAGTCAAGAATGCAACCTTCATTTATAATCTTGTTCCTCTGGAATCCATTAATGAATCCTGGTTTGCAACCGATCAAGCATTTATTAAGTGCTTACCCTTTGCCAGTTACCACATGGGACCCTGTTAGATAGTAAGACAAAAATTAAACAGTCCCTCTCCTTAAGGAGCTTACATTCTGTCGGAAGAGACAACATGTATACATAGAAGGGTATACCAAATAAATACAAAGTAATTTTGGGAAGGAGGCACTATCTACTTTACAAGGTAATTTTCAGAATTGCATCCAAACAGAAAGCACATCCTGCCCATATTTGCCTAAAGACCATGTCAGTGGAAAAAATACTGCCAAGATACATTGTCCTTTTTCCTAAGCCATAAATAAGTAACTCATGTTTGTAAAGAAAGCTAGGGCCCAATTGACACAAATAATGAATCCCCTGAAGTAGTTACTTGTATTATAATTTACACTTTTTGAAGCTGTAATTATGTAAAATATGGTCATTGGTTCCAACTCAATGAAAATATGCTGTTTGAATCAGAATAATGTGACTGTTTCAGGAGATTCATTATTCTCACTAATCATAATCAGGACCTAGCTGCATGGAGCTTTAAGTTTACACAAAATTTTTCTCACAGAAATTTCTGTGTCAAGTCTTTGGGAAGCCAAAACTGTGAATGCAGTTTATGAGCATGTGGTCTTAGATGTTGCCAGTTGCCTTTATAAATTTTTGTTCTTTAATATTATTTTTCTCTTTCTAATGATTTCACAATCGTATGATAGTTTTAAAGGGGTTTGAGTTGCAGCAAGCGGGAGGCTGTAAAAGGACTTCTCTTCCTCCTGGACTAAAACATTTGAACATTAGAATCAAAGGAGATTACGGATAGAGTCTTCTCTGATCCTATTTAAATGATTCTAATAACCGTTTTTGTTCTATTTCATTTTCTACAGGAAGAGCTAAAGAAAGACCTCAATAAAATTAGGAAAGAAAAGGAGAAAGCACAGGCTGCAGCTGCTGCAACTGCAGTAGCAACCCCACCACCACCGCCACCACCACCAACCCCACCAACCCCACCACCTCCACCGCCACCACCACCACCACAGCATTCAGTCAATGTCACATCAACTCCGATATTGCCCATACCTATATCTTCCCAGAAAAGAAAAAGAGAGGAGGAGAAGGAGTCTTCAGCTTCCAAATCCAAGAAAAAGAAAATGATTTCCACTACCTCAAAGGAAACTAAGAAGGACACAAAGCTTTACTGTATCTGTAAAACGCCTTATGATGAGTCTAAGTGAGTAGATCCAGTTCTTTGAATTCTCTTTTTTCAATATCTGTTTAACTTGTTAATTAAAGACTGGGGGTAGTAATATTAGTGTATATTTGAAAGCAGTTTACAAGAGTGAAATTCTCAGTGTGGTTTTTTTTTAACCTGGTAATCAAAACCTCATACAAGAAAAAGCAAATTCATAATTTTATGTTGTGATTATTTTTAGCCTGTTTGCCTTTTCATCATATTCCATTGTCCAAAAAAAAAAACCCACCAAAACCAGACTTTCTGTTATTCTCTTGCTTTTCTCTCCTTATCAGTTTTTCTCCTTTAGAGAACAATTAAGTCTCTGCCTTTGAAGTAAATTTTTAATTCCAGAATTAATCAATAGGTCCTTCTAGAGAGCAATCCAAAATAGAGAGCACTGTGTCTATAATCTTTTCTTACATTTAAGATTAAAGTGCATTTTATTTACTATCAGACTATACTTGTTGAAAGATGATACTGTTCTGTGGGGGAGTGGTACCATTTATTAATATTAGTAGCTTAATTTTATTTTATTGTTATAAAATTTCTGTTTATCAAGTGTAGTCTAAAATTATTCCTTTTTATATTCCCAAAAATATGAAAGACTCCAGAATATTTCTCATTTCTAACTGGGAAGATGTCAATGAGGTGTTTGGGGGTTTTTTGGTGGAGGGGAGAGGGACAGGTATAACTTATAATTTGAGGTATGTAGAATGAGTTTAAAAGAGGTCCTGCACAGTTGTAGTGATATGATGAATTGTCATCATTTAGGAGAGTATCTTAATTTTCTTCTTGAATTGCAAGTGTGTAGACCAGATTTTTTTTAAGTTTGCAATAATTTATTATGTCAAGCAAATCTGATTAAGCAAACATTTATTAACATACTCATTCCAAATCCATCTGGTTATGCTGAGAAATTTTATCATTTTAGGTTTTAAGAATCAAGTTAACATTGATAGTCTCTACACTAGTAGACTTTCTGTATCTAAATAATTTCTAAACTTGTTTGTCCATGTTATGTTTAAATGGCAAACAAAAACTGCTTTTGTAATGCTTTCTAATGATTTTACTCCAGTAGGTACAAATTCTGTATTGCAAATACTTTTTTTTATATCACTTTTCTTTCCCTCTGCCATTCTTCCCAGTAGAACAGCCCACAAGAATGGGCTAGGCATGTTTGGATTTTAAACCCTTTCTGTTTAGACAAGACTAGGTGGGCATCTTCATTGTTTATTATCTTCATTCGTTAGACATATGGTATACAATGTAAAAAGTTTGAATTTATCCCTTTGGTCTAGTACGGGTGTGCTTCATTTTAAGCAAATCCAGTCTATTAAAATTAACTATGAAGTTTTGATTTTTTTTTGATACATTTATGATTTGCCTCTGTCAATACTTTCTATACTCATGCACATGGAACCCCTTCATGCCTTTTCATCCTATGTGGCTCTTGTCTGTGTCTTCTGTAAAAATTCCCGTGGAGTCCATGAATAAAGATTTCCAAAATATAAAATGAAGAGCTTTTTGTACCTTTAGAAAAGTAAATGAAAAGTAATTTTTACATTTTAAATATTTTATTTAACACTCAATTTAAATTTAAAATTTCAGAAATGCGATGCATAAAATGAGGTACACCTGAATGATGACTTTTCCTTAAGGGCATTTTGCATTTATTTTGTGTGGATACTTCACATTTTTCTTTGACATTAAGATCATTGAATTATGCCAAGTTTACTCATGCCATTTTTTAGTTAGACTGAGTTAATCTGTTTATTCAGTAAGGCTAAAATTATCTGTTAAGTTTTGCGTTTTTTGTTATTGCTTTGACAAAAGGCTTATTGAGGATTTTAATGCAAAATTATATTAAAAGTTTGAGCAGTAAACTTGGCTTCCAACATAATTTTCTCAAAGTGCCATAGAAGCAACACATTTAGCTCCTGGAGAGCCTGTGCAGTAATTCCCAAAAGATTCTGTGTTAGTCTTTTTACAAATGAAAGAAAAGAGCAGTGCGAAAAAGGAGAGATGAGAATTAACCTTTATTTTTGTCTTCAGTTCATAAAAGCAGCATATTTGGGAGTTTGACGCCTAATTCCTTTCCTCTAGTTACATTGTCCAAGGCATGTGGTACAGGGTGCCCAAGGATACTAGTTACCTCATCCTGGCTAATGTGTATGTAGCTCTTGAAGATTTGCAAAGCACTTTTCCATGTAGTCTCTTATTCAGTTCTTGCAACAGCCCTGTGAGGTGGTTAGCAATGGAGATTATTAGCCCTGTTTTACAGCTGAGGAAACTCAGTAACTGGTTTTAACCAAGGTTTTCCCCTTTCCCATCCAGTGTCTCAGCCAGTGTGTGCAGTGCTCTTTCTCACCGTAATTATGATTACCTCTTTGGCTGTGATTATTTTCTACACCCTGCCAGTCACCAGTGTTAATCAATACATTAGTTTATTAAGATCGGGGTATTAAAAAGTTATGGATAGTAACCATCTGTTAGTCATAAATATATTCTACACCTATAACAAATATTAAACGTCTTATAATAATAGATTAACTGTTTTCACACCATTCCATGCAAATGCGACATCTGTTTTTTAAATTGAGTCTGTTACTTTGTTATGTTATCTTCATTTTCATTGCACATTTGTTGCACATTGCCTACATTTATTGCCACATATTATCTAAAAATATTCTCCAAAGAATGGTCCTTTTCTTAGTTTATTTTAAGGAGCCTGTGATTTTATCTAGATGAAACTCCTTTTGCATATTTAGAATATTTGGCAGAAATTTACCTGCTGTCTCTCTTTACCACTTTTCTCCATCCTATCATGTTTTGTCTATATGTGTCATACACACAGCTGGCTGGCTGCCCTGCATGTTCTCTATAGTAGCATAACTTCTACGTGGTGTTTGCGCTTTGCTGTTTTTTAAACTTAACTTTGAGATACATTTTCAAACCTATCTAAAAAATAGCCCTGACATTGTGATGGCTTCTGTGGCATAGGTTTGATAGATGTAAGTTTGATTCTTTGGCTTTGGGTTTTGTGCCTATTTACAGTTTCATGCACATTCATTAGTGGAGACGTTACCATCAGTGTGTTGTTGTGTTTTTGTTTTTGTTTTCTCCAAAATTCCAGTACATTTTTTAAGACCTACATTTTACTGAAAAGCATGCATTTGTTGAAATTGTTGTGAGTGAATACTTTCACATTAGATACAGGGTAAGATGCTGTAGCTTTCTCTCCATGGGTAGAATGGTTGGATTCAGGAAGTTCACTCTGACCTATTATAGAAAGCCATCAAGCAGAAAGTGCATCAGTAACAGGGAAGACAGGGATAAAAGTGCCATGCAGTTCAAAATGACAATTACATTGTCATTTTCATTGTGAATACTTTTAGGTTCTATATTGGCTGTGATCTTTGTACTAACTGGTATCATGGAGAATGTGTTGGCATCACAGAAAAGGAGGCTAAGAAAATGGATGTGTACATCTGTAATGATTGTAAACGGGCACAAGAGGGCAGCAGTGAGGAATTGTACTGTATCTGCAGAACACCTTATGATGAGTCACAGTGAGTTCTGATAAGAGCATCTTATTTAATAATTTAGGAAGACAAACTGCTCTGACTGGTTATTTGTTTATTTTTCAATGTAAAAGAGGGGTATTTTTGCATATATTATACACCTATTACAAGTTCCTTCCCAATTTTTTTTTCTCTTCCCTTCCCCTTCCCCTTTCAAAATTGATGTTGCTTTATAGTGAATGTTTGAGATGTATTGGGAATATGCGGTTTAAAAGGTAGATTTGATTTTTCTAAATATAAATTAACTAGATTAAAAAAGAATATTTAGTTTGGATTTTGTTAGTGTTTGAAATGGTGTTTTATTTTAGATTAGAAAAATTAAAATTTGAGCATAGCCTTTGAGACTGTTATTAGACTATAGGCTTCTGACTGCCAGCTGGGTGGCCAGCAATAGCTTCCCATTCAATATCTTATTCATTGAGAGATTTGAGCTTCCTTTTGTACTTTGAGCTTTAAAATCAATTAAATTCAAATTTGTTTCTCTAAATCTATTCTGCAACATAAGGCAATGTTACTAATACTGTTTTCTGACAATTTGGATACTTGATTTTATTTTACTATGGGATATACTAAATTGATAAGCTCTTAAATAAATGTCAGTCTTCAAGTAATATGAAAACCATATTAGAACTGTTATATCCTAATGTTTAGTATATCTCCAGATATTTAATACTCATATAAGTGAATTGTGAAAAGAGTTGTCTTTTCATCTTAGAACTTACATTTCTGTTTTGCATCTTACAGATTTTACATTGGTTGTGACCGATGTCAAAATTGGTATCATGGGCGCTGTGTTGGTATTTTGCAAAGTGAAGCAGATCTCATTGATGAGTATGTCTGTCCACAATGCCAGTCAACTGAGGATGCCATGACAGTACTCAGTCCATTGACAGATAAAGATTATGAAGGACTAAAACGAGTGCTACGTTCCTTACAGGTGAGGAACAAAAGCGCAGTAAAAAAGAGGGAGTATTTACTTCAGAATAGGTCTCCCATTCTACAGACATTACAATTTGAAAGGAGGCTGTTGTTTAGCTCTTAGTTTGTTTAACTCTGCTTTTTTGCAAACTGCCCTATAAATAAATCCAGCTAAAGACAGATACCAGTGATAGAATTAGTGAAAGTGAATTAAGGGAAGCATTTATCAAGCAGCTATGACTTACTAGGCACTTGGGATAAAAATACAAAAGGAAAAATTCTCTGCCTTCAACCTCACGTCCTAATTGGGAGTAGACCATACATATTATAGGGAATGGTAGTTAGGGAAAAGTTTTAGTCTGAAGAATCTCTAGGACAATGAATAGAACAGTTGATTGCCTTGCCTTTCCTGGAGGTAGTGGCAGTATTGATTTGATTCCACTACTCTTCTAAGGGGACTAGATACAGGGAGGGGAATGCAGTTATGTGCCCCAAAATGGAAAGTTGTCCAGGGTGGGTGATAGGTGAAGCATACTGTGGAGCAGGCTAGTTGTAATAGGGTAGGTAAGTTTATACTTACAAACCGCTGAAGACAGCTCAGCCCAAAGGGAGAGGTCAAAAACTAAATTAATCCCCCTAGGGAAGGAAACCTTTTAATTCAGTGCTTCTTTAGATAGGATCACTGGCCAGAAGGCCTAAGGATCTCTTGTTTCCTACATCTCTGGGCCTACTAGACTCTTTGTTAAGTATTTTTCTTTTCGAGGCCTGCTTCAAATGACCAGTTGGAATCATTTCATGACTTTGAATGGTCGTGAGAAGTAAGTTAGATATTTAGAAATAGAAAATAGATTTCCACACTATGGCTAGGTGGTACCTACAAAGCTGATTTTATACACACTTATTAAAGTTTTTAATTTCTTTGCAAGATCATTCTTATTAGGACAACCAAATAATAAGTAATTGAATGTCATTTCTAAATCCTTTAGCAAACACAAGAAATTAACAGAAAATAACACCAAAAATAAAACATTTTCCCCAAAAACAAACATGTACTAATTCTTTACCTAATACATCTTTATTAGAATTATCATTTTTGTTTTTTGAGAAATATTTTTATTGACTTTTTCTGATTTGAGTATCATAAAATGAAGATTTACCTGCATGTTTGTAAATATATTACAGAGTGTGGATTAACATATTTCAAGCTATGGGATCATTTTCACCATTATATCTAATTTTAACTCTTTACTTTGAAAATGTGGGTTATTTATATTTCATATCCCGTTTATGTAGTAACTGTGTAATGTGGGGACTGAGAAAGGGGCGAGGTGCAGCAAGGTCAGGATGAAAACAAGCATCCTTCATCATAAGAATTAGGCAGATCAAATCCATTTCTGTTCTGGCCAAAATGAGAGTTTAAATCCAATCTAGAAAGTTCACTGGGTCACTAAGTGCTCTGGCTTAGCTGAGGGCCAGTATTTACATCTGATAATGTTGTCTCTTTTTCCTCCCAGGCTCACAAGATGGCATGGCCTTTCCTAGAGCCAGTGGATCCTAATGATGCACCAGATTATTATGGTGTTATCAAGGAACCAATGGGTAAGTGCTTCAGTCAGATGGTGAACATTTTCCTTACTCTCTGCGAGAGAGGTTTTCAGATTTGTAAAAAGTGATCAGTCACATGCATTCCTTGTAACTGAAGCATTTCTCCTGAGTTGTACTTAAGTACTTAAATAAATGCAATACTGTCTACATAGAATAGATTGTAGCTTTCCTTATTTTTAAATGGCAGTGGTTCTGTAGCTATATCTGTTTTCAGATAAAACAGCATAATGCCAATGGAATCCAAGGCAGTTTCTTCCCACTGTCTTTTTTAAATTGGTATTAAAAAAAAAAGACCTCAGACTTGCTGTGTAAAATAATTGTACAGAACTCCTTCAAATAAGACCTTTCTGAAGATATGTCTTATTTAGCATTATGGATGAGATATTCACTCTTAAATTTAAATAATGGAATTGGATTATCTGTAGTTGAATTAGACATTTCAGATAGATTTGGGAAATTCGATGAAGTAAAGAGCACAGTGAATTTCTAAGTCAACAAAAGTCCTGGGACTTATTCTCACCAGCAGATAATATTCATAATGATCAGCATTATAATAGTTTCTGTATAATGAAAGAGACGGCTTTCACATTTTCTCACCTTAAAAGAAGAGATAGATAGTTGGTTATTACAGTACAATATTTCTTTGGACAAAATCTGTGATTTCATCAGTATGTGAGGAACTCCCAATGAGGAAACTCCTTTTACCAAAGCAAAACATTACTTCCCTGCAAAATAGAGTTTCATTTAATGTTTACAGATATCATGACAGTTGATAGAATTACAAAATAAACATTCAGAAGGAATTCTTATTGGTGAGGATGCCTTTATTTTCTTGGCCAAGGTAAAACAAAAAAGTTCACAATATGTCAATGCATTTACAAGACCCTGTCAAAGGTGCTTGTGTTTTAAGATGAAGACTGACTGGGTCCACCCTAAATTTATCTTACATAGCCTCACTTGGTCCTTCCTGCTGTTAGGCAGTACGACTCTACTATACCTCCCATATCAGCTCACTATCCTGCTCTCCAGCCCTTCCAAACTTTTTTATCCCTCATCAAACCTCCCAGAGCCTTCCTTCTCCCCACCCACCCATTCTCTCAGCTGAAATTTGCCGTATATTTCAATGAAAAAATTGAGGTCATTCAACAAGAAATATATCTTTTCTTCCTTTCTCCTCATCTCATGCTACCTAGATGTTTCCTGCCCCTATCTCCTCCTCACCTGTCTCAGATAATGAGGTGGCCCTTCTCCTTGCCAAGTCAAGCCTCTCTATGTGCACAAGTATGCCCAGTCCATCTTGTATTCTCCAGCAGATTGTCCACCTCATCAACCCTAGACACATATCTTCAATCTCTCCCTGTCTACTCCCCTCCCTAATGGCTACAAATGTGCATATGTCTGCCCTATCCTCAGAAAACCCTTACTTGATCCCTGTCCCCACAAAATAGCATCCCATGTTTCTCTTTGCTTTTGTCGTTAAACTCCCTTGAGAAGGTGCCTCCACTTTTTTTCTTCCCATTTTCTTCTTGGCTTCTGCCCTCACCGTTCAACTGAAACCGTTTTCTCCAAAGCTACTACTAACAGTCTCTTAATTGCCAGATTTAATGGCCTTTTCTCGGTGCTTATTCTGTTTGTTATTCCTCAGCATTCGACAACATTAGTCACCCTCTTCTCTTTGAAATACTTTCTTCTCTCTAGGTTTTTGTCACAGCTCTCTCTTCTGATTATCCTCCTATCTGAGCATTTCTCAGTCTCTTGCGCTGGATCTTCATCCAGGTCATATTTTGCTATAGATGGGTGTCCCACAGGGCTCTATCAGGAGCCCTCTTCTCTTTTCCCTCTGTTGTGCTTCACTTGGTTGTCTTACCAGTTCCCATGGATTCCGTTATCATCTCTGTACTAATATTTCTCAGATGTATTTATCTAACCCTAACACCTTTGTGCTAACCTGCAGGTTTGCATCCAACTGACTTGAATTGGATGTCCCAAAGACATCTTAAACTCAACATGTCTGTAACTGAATTCATTATCTTTTCCCTCATACCCCTTTCCCTTTTACTCTTTGAGGGCACCACCATTTTCCTGTTTGCCCAGGCTGGCAACCTAGGTGTCTTCCTCTGCTCCTCATTCTCTCATCCCTCATATACAATCTGTTGCCAGGCTCTGTCATAAAATAAAAACTTCCATAAAGTCTCTTGAATAGATTCCTCTCCTCTCCTCAGGGAGGCAGTGGTATTTCAGTTGAACTTTAAAGGATGGGTAAATATTTAGCAGTCTAAATTAGGGTGAGGCAGAAGACGTTCCAAAGACAGGGACCAGCATGAGCCAAAACATGAAGGCAGAAAAATTCCAAGGTATTTTGCGGGGAAGAGAGAACTCCACTTTTGCTGGCCTGTAGTAGATGTGGAGAAGAGTCTAAGAAAAGGTTGGGAAGGTGAGGTGGTGGCAGATTGCAGAGTGCCCTGAATACCAGACAGAGAGGCTGGACTTTATTCAAGCAGTGTGGAACTGCTGAAGTGTTTTGTTTTGGTTTTAATACAAGGGTGACTCATATAAAAAAGATGAATTTGGCCACGCTGTGAAGGATAGATAGAAGGGAGAGAGGAGGTGAAAAGACCAATTAAGATGGCATTAATTGTGGGGATAGTATTAAAAGACAGTGCCAGGGTTGCAACAGAGAGGAAGGAATAGGACTGCTGGACCTCACTCCTAGTCACTCATTCTTCTGACCATTTGGAACTCTCAAGGTCACATGGCCAGTCTACCATCCCTTCCCCTAAAATGAAAGAAGACACACTGAGTCAGGCAAAGAACAGAAGACCATATGTATAGGGCCACATGGTGCCCAAGGTCTCTCCTATTACAGTAATACCTCTCACTGGGATACCATCACTAAAGGAGTCAAGCCAAGAGAGAGGCTGAGGTCAACAAATGGCTTTTTGAAAGCACCCCTAGTTCTGGTTCTACCACTGCAGCCAAGCAAAGAGACTGATGTCCACCACCTGGCTAGAAGACTGCAAACAATTACAGAATGTCTGCACATGCTCCAAAGTCTGTCCAAGGCATTTCCATCAAAAATCATCAGGAAATTTTTCCATCTTTTCTATGTAGGCACTTGCATCAGTAGCACCCTGCTTATATGCCAGCACCCCCTGGGAAAAGAGGGAAAGAGGAGAATGGTTTATGCTGAGCAGATGCAAAAGATATTACAAAGGTAGATAGGATGGGATTTAGTAACCATTTGGACGTGATAACTACAATTTTTCACGTGAGAGCTTGTGTGGGTGATGATACCACTAATAAAATAATAAAGTCATAGGAGGAATAGGTTGGAGAAGAAAGATGCTAAACTCAGTTTTGATTATGTAAAATTTGAGGTACTAATGGAGAATCCAAGAGAAATTCTCTGGCAGATATTTGAAGATGCAGCAGAAGCAAGGTGAAAGATGAGGTTTTTTTGTTTGTTTAATAGAAGAGAATAGAATATCTTTGATAGTTGTGAGCAGGGGGAAAAGTTCTTAACCAGCTCTAACTTAGGAGAAACGATAAGAGAAAAAAAATATGAATTCAAGTGTATTCAGCATATAAGAGGAAAGATAAAGATTGGATGAACATTTCTAAGGAAAAAAAATATCACTTTGAACCTAGCAAATTGGCAAAGGTAATAAAATATAACAAAATTAAATGCTGACATACCTCTGGAAAAAATGACAGGCTAATACACTATTAATTTAGCAGTGACTTAGTTTAATCTTTTTGGAAAACAACGTGGAACTAAATGATAAAAGTTACAAAAATGTCTGTGCCCTTCAACCCTGTGATCCCACTATTAGATGTATACCTGTAGCACATTATTTACAGGGCAAGGGGGAGACTCAACTGAACAAAAATATTTTTATTTGTAATGGCAAAAAAACAAACCTGGGAATAATTTATGTGCCCAACATTTAGGGAATAATTGAATAAAGTAAAGCGTATTAAAAAAATAGAATGTTATCATACATGAATAAATGATGAATTGAAGAATTCAGAGAAATATGGGGGGATACATGAAGTCATTGAGAGTGAACCAAAGAGCTTCAAAACAACAGTATGTTTACTGAAATGAACATAAAGATAGCATTAAACAGCAATAAATTTCATATTGAATGTATAGGATAACTCTATTACTGCATCATTAAAGTTAATATGTATGGCATTTATTTCTTTAAACAATGAATAATGCGGGAGTTTGTTTTCCACTTCACATATTTGTAATGGGCTTTGTCTTTCTTATTTTCTTGGTAGATAAGAGAAGGGAAGAGGAAGGGAGAATTCAGAACTGAAAATAAAATTGGATTTTAAAAAATGAGTAAACAAGCGTATGGTTTCATGTATAATGATTCATAATTCTTGTGTTTGCGGAGCTTTTGGTACCTTTCTTTTTAATATTTTTAAATGCTTATATTTGTCAATGGCAGTTAAAATTAAACATTAATTTTATAAAGGAGACTTGTTCAGTTTAGCTGCAGATGAAGATTTTTATAAAGTCTTCCATGCACATGTGATGGTTGATTGCATGAGAGTGCCAAGCAAGCTGTGGGAGAGAAGAGGGGCAAGGACAGAACCCCTTTAAGGAGTGTTAAAGATTACAAGCAGTCATCAAAAGGAGAAGGAAAGGAATTTAACACTGTAATCATAAAACCCAGAGAACGAAGTGTTCATGAAGCTTAAGGACAGACAGAACACAGAAAGTAAGGAGAAAACAGTGTTAAATGCTGGCAGAATTCTGTTGTATTTGTCAGTTTGGTCATTAGGGACCTATTTCAATAAAAAGATGAGCGTGGAAGCCAGGATGCAAGAGATTAAGGAAAGACTATGTATAGACACATTTTTTAAAAAAAGTTTGACAGAGAAGTTCTGAGAAGTGGAAAAATGGACTTTTTCCTTAGATGATTTTAATCTTCTCAGCTAATTCGGACACTAAAATTCTCTGGCTCTTGCTTAGTATTTAAAATAGCTGAATATAAACCAATATATGAATATTGACAGTGGCAGCCAGATGGCACAATGGATAGAGTGCTGGGCCTGATATCAGGAAGACTGATCTTCCTGAGTTCAAATCTGGCCTCAGACAGCTGTGTGACCTTGGGCAAGCCATTTAGCCCTATTTGCCTCAGTTCCTCATCTATAAAATCAGCTGGAGAAGGAAATGGCAAACCACTCTAGTATCTCTTCCATGGAAACCCCAGATGGGGTCACGAAGAGTCGGACTCAACTTAAAACAACTGAACAGCACCAACATATGAATGTTGAAATCTTAAGTCTAACAAATGTGATTTTTAGCACTTTTTGCCCCCATTTTCTGCCACTCTGTCATCCTCATTGCAGAAGTAGAAGGAAGATGGACAAACATGGAAACAACCCTGTATTCTTCTTTGGCCGTGGCAACCCATCAGACGTAGAATTCATTCATTCACCAAATCACCTGCCTCCTGGTGATGAGCCATTCCATGCTTAGCTAGGCTACTCCCTGGAAAACAGGCATCATCTTTTGCTAAGAATTATAAACCTTCCTGTATCATAAAATGGATTAGAGCTTGCCCTCTACATGCTTAGCCTTCAAGAGCCCCAAGTTCCCACCTTGATGAGGTGTCGGAATCAGACTTTGTAGAAGTATATCTGAAGAGTGAGGTTAATTGCAGGACACTTGCTTTTCCCGATTTCTGACTTTCTTCACATCTTTTGAATGTATACTTCAGCATCCAAATACTTTTGGTTTGGGGTTTTTGTGTTATAAATAATTGTTTTCTCTTATAATCTTGTAGTTAGACCAGAATAAAGATCATGAAACAAACAACCTGATTTTTCTCCCCCTAATTTTACTTTTCCTCCCACATGTCCCACAACATGAATTTTGAACACTTTGTTTTCTCTCTGTGGCTATAGAAATCAAGAATACAGTTTTCAGGTCAGTGTGATTAACATTGAGCTTTGTGGAAAGGGGAGGAAAGCCTATGTCTGTGGCTCATTGATTTTAGAGGAACCTTCTCTGCAATCTAATAAATTTAAATTCTAGACCCCAATACACAAATTTCTGAAAGACAAGCTATCTTGAGAAAAGAAGCCCCTAGGAGTACAGGCAGGTTTGGTGATGGCGAGGAGTAGGTTCTTCTACTCCCACCACCACAGCTGGAGCAACCCCTGAACATCTCTGTTCATGTTCCAGAGCACAGATTTAAGAGAAAAAAATCTAAGTGTCTGAAATTAGTGTTGATACAAAAATTTATCTTCAGCTCAGAATGTTGGAAGAAGATGTGGAAGTAGCCATCAAGGTGGTGGTTTTTAGGAATGGGAGATAAAATACAATTCAACAATATTGCAAAGGCGCTTTTACAAAAGACGACTACAAGAAAATGATTGGAGTTGATTTTTTGAAGAAAAGAAGTCCCCTTTCCCTTTATATTTTCTCATGCTACTTGGGCAATAAATGTGTCACATTAAACCTGGAAGGAATGTTCAGGACCATATTTGGTAATACATTAAAAGCTTTCATATTCAGTTCTCTTAAAATAATATTTCATATTTTTATGTTTTTAAGATCTTGCCACTATGGAAGAAAGAATACAGAAACGGTATTACAAAAAGCTGACAGAATTTGTGGCAGATATGACCAAAATTTTTGATAACTGTCGTTACTACAATCCAAGTGACTCCCCATTTTACCAGTGTGCAGAAGTTCTTGAATCATTCTTTGTACAGAAATTAAAAGGATTCAAGGCAAGCAGGTAAGTTAAAAAAAAAAAAGCTAGTTTTTGCACTCTTTAATTTGTTCGTGCTCAGAATTTAATCAGCTCTTTTAAATACCAGGAGCTAGCCTCCCAAAGGAATTGGTTCCTAGGGCACTTTTTATTGAATATGGATTTTAAAGAATTTTATAAAGATATGCAGGTAACTACCAAATTTTAGTAGACCAACAAGTTTAGTGCTAGGAAATTACAAAGCTTCAGTTTGAGCTATTTTTAAATCAGGGGTGCATTCACCCCTAAATGTTCCTTCTTTTTTACTTTATAATTTTGATTCTGTTTAGCATTGCATTGTCTTTTAAGAATTGAAAACCTCACGGGAAATTTGGAGTTGGTAAATATTTTGGGGAAATTTTTCTAGCAGTTCTTTTCTGAATGGGAAAATAGACTGTAAAGAGTTTCCAAACCCTCGGTAAGAGCATAATCCAACATTTAGTATTGACCGTGTCCAATATACTAAATAAATAAAATTATATTACTTCAATCATACTATTTTTAATTCCTATTTTTTACAGTTCAGTTTTAGTAATTTCTATTAGAAAGCAGTTGTGCTTTCTAGTATCTAAAACTACCCTTTAGTAGCAGAATTGGGGAAATTTTGAATTGGTAACAGAAATAAAAAACCTAAATGTGGAAGCCTGTTGCAAGCACTACTTAATTTCATCTTACAGACAGCTATTCTAATTTCTATGAGAATGAGCAAAATTAAATTGGAAGTGAATGACCAATATTTAGAATTATAGGATTTTAGAATTGGAAAGACCAGGACCTTAGGGGTCATTTTGTTGAAACTCTTGCTCTAATTGTAGATTTCAGTGATTTTACCAAACTGCCATCTGCTGCCATTCCTCAACCTCCCCTCTTTTCATTTATGGTATCCAGCATTAAGTGTTTGCACATTATTTTCATTACTGCATTTTATTTGTTATGCTTCTTCATTTACACCACCCGTGTTTTTTCTTTTCTTACAGATTGTGATATCTTTAGTCTGAACTTTTTAACTGGAATCAGAGCTGGATGTTGGGGGTCACTCATTCTTTCATTGTACCATGTCATATACTTAATTCAAACCCTGCCTCCAGAAAGTTCAGATTAGTTAACAGAGTTTTTAAATGTTTTAAGATGTATCGCAGTAAGCAATCATTTCCTAGCAGCCATGTTGAACAATGTATTAAAAAAAATTATTGTAAATTCTGGGAATACTGTATTAAAAAAGTCTTGCAACATAAAGTCTGTTGGCTTAGTTAGTCCTGGAAACTCTGTACAGTATTTTCATCATACTAACTACAGTTGTGAATAAAACTGTGAAGTTTAGAAAGGAGATTGTCTGAATTTTTATTAGAAAAATGTGATTTTAATTACTGTTAAATGTGCTCTTTTTTTACATCTCAGATTTCCCCTACCCCCAACAACCCATATCAATGTAAATTAGTTTGTACATATTTTTTAACCACAATGATGATACTTCTTGTAAATGTCTTTTTCCCTATGGCTAAAAATTTTGTAACCTTTATTAGTAAAATATATTTTTAAGTCTTGGAATTTTCCAGAAAAAAAAATCATGTTTAGTGTACAGTAAAAAATTTTAATTCAGTAGGCTAAAAAAAAAATTTCTGAATGTCAAAAATAATTGTCTCCATAGTATTGGCTGCTTCCCCTCCGACTGATTAACCTTGGTTGGCATAGGCTTAGAGCCTCATTGTTCTCCAAAATGAAGGGTGCTTAATTGTTCCCTTTTTTCTGTATTCTGCAGGTCTCATAACAACAAACTGCAGTCTACAGCTTCTTAGAGTTCAGCGTGTTAACCTAATGCAAAACACAGCAAGAATCTGGTTATCTGAAAAGTTTAAAATTAAGAAGCCAGGATGTTTTTAGTCAGGTTCTCCTGACAAGACTTGACCTAAACTTCGTTTTTATTGGTCACAAAAGTCAAATTATATTCTTGGCCTGTTTTGTCCAGCGGACAAAGGAAAACAAAATCAACACCATATTCTTGTCAAGATCAAATTGTTTTACTATTGTGGCAGAAGCGAGAAAACTTTGTTTATTGAAAGAGAGAAAAAGAAAGCAAGAATAAGGATAAATGGGGTCAAGTTTTAACTCCATGGAAATGCCACGTCTGCTCTTCAGTGAAGAAGCTGGTTTAAAGTCACACAGAAAACTTTGACTGTATTTATTTATTGTTGCAAAAAAGACGCTTTTTTTATTGCTGCCCTCATTTGTCAGCTAATTATTTTTTCTTAAAAAAAAAAATCCAGCCCCGGTTACATGTAATCCATTCTGTATCTTATCATGATTCCTGTAGGTAAAAGTACAAGAGACCTCTAGATGTCTTTTCTTTCTATGAAAGGAGCTGCTATGTACACATGTGCACACACACACACACACACACACACACACACACACACATACACACAAAAAAACTGGGAATCAACAATGAGTTTATTGTTCATGCTAGATAAAAATTAAGCTTGCATAAAGGTTGGGCTAAGTGGTCATGGACTACAGACTCTGTTGCCTTGAATAAAACAGTACAATATGTCATTTACTCTGCACCAGACTGAAATGAGTAAAATCTATTTGAAGGTATCTTGTTTGTAAACATTTGTCAGATTCTAATTTTTTTCTTTTTGTATTAAAATTCAAAATATGGATGTATATGAAACAAAATAAATGGAGATAATTTTTCTCCCACAGATGGAAGTGTCTTTGAATGTGTGGTACTGATTGTAAGCTTTGGTGGGGTGGAAAGGGACTCCAAAAGGGCAATAAAGAACAGAAGAAACTAAATATGACTGTTTTCCCCAAGAAGGTGGCCCTGTCTTTTGTCATTCCCAATTCCTTATTACTTCAAAATAGTCAACAGGGGTGCCACACCTGCTGCATCAATGAATGCTTGAGGTCCATATAGTGGGAAGCAGAGTATCCCACAGGAATGAAAGACTGCTTACTTAAGTCTAGAATAGCTTGTGTTTGTGTTCTTCAGAGAAGGAAAGGTAGTATGAAAGTGAAATCAACTGAAGTTCTCCATGCAAGTTTCTCTTGCTTTTAATGATCTGTGCTTACACTGCATTTTTCTGCATTATATTAACAGCTGTTATGAAATCTGCTGCTTGGCTTATGTAGCCTTGCAAAAATATTACTAGGTTTTGCACTAATTCACATTAGCTTTGTCCTCCTAAGATCTGGAGTTTGCCTGAGAATTTTTTTAAAAGCCTTTCCCCAGGTTTAATATCACCCCCGCTATGCAAGCCCCTTTCCAGTTCTTAGTTTCCTGAAACTAAGTGTAAGACATAGCTATGGATCACAACTCTTTCTTATTACAGGCTCAGGTGTACAGGTTATTCTGGGGTTCATTTTATCTAATAATTATTAGACCAGTTTTTTGTTTGTTTATAACAGATGTCACTTAAAGAAAACTGTTCAATGTGAAAACAACGTTTATGCTTCTTAAAATAATTAAGATAAAAGTAGTTGCATTAAAGTTATGTTGTCTGACTTTTTTAATGCTACATATTGTATGCATTTGCTGATGCAAGAACCCTACGTTTTTAATGTTATGAAATTATTTTGCATCTCATCACATCACAGTATTTCTGTACTATTTATTCATATATATACATATATATATATATATAAAAATATATGGATTTAATCATTTAAAACTTGTTGCGGAAAGAACTTTCCTACCCGTAGGCAATAGATTGCTATGTTTTTAACAATTGTGGCAAACTCTAAAGAGTAATTTTTTGTACTTAATAGGACATTTCATCCTAGACAAATAAAGTAATGTTTTTGACATTGGATTTGGTGCAGTTTCTAATGAAACACTGTTGGTTGATTGCTGATGTAGTTTCTGTAGATGTTGGCAATAATGCCAAATTGTACATAACAAATTTTCATAGGAGTCCTCGGACTAGGAGTATATTACTGATAAATCTGTATTTAATGGTGTAAACGCCTTTTTTCTATTTTTTATATCATCATAGAATACATGGGCATTTTGTAGAATATGGAATTTATCAACTATATATAGAATTTTAGTCATTCCAAATTTTTGAAAAACATGCTTACCTAAAGAATCACAAGTAACTTCTTTCAAAAACTGCTTTTCTTATTGTACTTTGGGATGTATCCTTCCATCCAGCAAGATGTCCTGTAGATAATTTGCTTTCAGTCTTTGATGTAGTATAATGTAATGTACACTCAGAAATCCACGCTTGTGAGACCTATTTCTACTTATGACTTTGGGAGTTGTGAATATTCAATTTGTATGATTACAATTCCTTAATTAAATACTTCTGGTAAATGTTTTTCTTCCTCAGCTTTCAAGTTCAAAATCCTTCAAAGCATTTCATAAATACAGTTTTCATAGTTTTGATAAGGTTTCTTCTGCAAGCCCAAATTTGCAAGATTTGTATTTAGTTGATTGTCCTACAGGCAAAAAGTGGGGCAGGGGGAAGGGAAGAAGAGTTGGTTATGAGTTTTCAAAAAATGTTTTTCTAAAGATAAAAAAAACTACCTATATTTGAAATGGACTGGGGTTGATACTTAGAGACTCACTGGGTTTTGTGGGGTTTTTTCATTGTATTGCCCTCCTAGAATATAAAAATAAAATTTCTTTCCCTGACTTTCTCTCCTTTTCCATTTGGTAAGTCCAAGGTCTTGATATGTTTTGTGGTGCCAGAATCAACACAGCCATAATTTAAATTTTTCTGGGCATTAATAAAGTTAGTACTCCGGAGTTGGAGTCCATTGTGTGCCCATTAAGATGTTTGCAAAGCTATTGTCTGTGAACATTGAGTTTACAATCTTTAAAATAGGAGGGCAAGTATATAAAGGCAAGGCTATTTTAAGTATTTTAATGAAAAGCATCCTATATGAGAGTTTTCGGTGGTCTGAATATCGTGGAACCTTTGAGGGGCCATAATTTGGAAGACATGCTGGACTGATATCATTTGGGGCTTGGCAAGGATTTTTTTGGTTTGTTTTGACCTTTATTTCAAGGAGAAGTGTAGAATCAGTGGAAGAACATTGCAGTTTACCAAAGGCAATCCAAGCAGTTCAGTTTTGGGGCCCAGTTTTCTGGTCACTTGTAGTATCTGCCCAACATCATCCTACTTATAATGGATAAGTTCTACAGATTGTCCATCTGATGTCATAATCCAAACAAAAGACATTCTTATCTTGTAAATAAGCTAGAAGGATAATACAGGAGAGTCTAAATTTTGCCAGAGATGAACAGAAATTGAATCCATATCCAAATATATATCATTTGAATGAAATTTTGAGTGTTCTGTTGAAGAGGAAATACTTAGATCATCTTTAATTTTGTCAATGCCTTCCGCTAATACTGACAGCAGCTATCATTTAATAGATGGATGATCTTTTGACAGGTTCTGTGGCTGGAAATGAGACTCTCTGAACCCAACTAGGCTGGTCCTCTGACAGAAAACCTTACACCATTCGTCATCATTCCAATGGGAAATAAAATGCAATATGCAAAAAGAATAAGCTCTCGTTTTGTCTGTCTCTGAAATTAAAAAGGTGAAGAGAAAATTCTAAATTACTTTTATGCAATTTGTAGTTTGTGTGTATATGTACACCACATATATACATGTAGCTATGGGAATCACTTTTTTACCTATGTTGCTTCATCATAGTTGATTGCTCTATTTCACATTGGAAAGTGACTTCAAGGTGAATATGAATCATTAATTCCAGTAAAATGCTATGTTAGGATAGGAAACTGTTAAGAAATTATAGTGGAAAGAGTCCTGGCTCTGAAGTCAGAAGATTTGGGTTCAAATTGCACCCCTGAAATTGGCTGTGAGATCTTGGGCAAGTCAGAGCCCCCCTAGGCCTCAGCTTCCTCATCTTAAAGTGAGGGGTCAGACTGGATGACTTCTGGAGCTCTTTCCTACATCCATGATCCTGTAAAGATTTTCCTCAATCAATATATCGAGACAGTACTATTGAATATAACATGAAGGCTATTGAGTGTTTCATTGGTGACGGATATAAAGTGCTTTTTAGTTTTTGGAATATAAGCACATCCTTCAAAGAATATGGAAATAAAAAACAAAAGATTGAGAATAGGAATAAATTTAGTAATCCTTTTCCCAATAAATTTAGTCATCCTTTTCCACATCCTTTGTGTGCTAGGTTGAAGGAGGGTTGAGAGACTATAAGGCTTAAGCACTGGTTAAAATGAGTTAAGACCAACTTAGAATAAAAGGTTAGCAGAACCCTGTTGTTGTACAATTAACCTCTGCCATCTTACATGAGACCAAATCATGGTGTCAGTATTTATTGTCCTCCATATTTTGAGATCCTCTCACTCTTAAGGCATAGTCCTTAACAATGTTTGGATCCAGGCAGTTTAGACTCGATGCCTGACTCAATGCTCAGAGCTCATAGTGACCTTACAGATCATTTTACAGAAAGCAGACCGAGAGAGGTTCAGTCCAATTCAAGAAGCACTGCACATGTGCAAGGCATGGTGAGAAACATTGCGGATACAAAAAAAAGCAGGAAAATGGGTCCTGCCTTCAAGGGGTTTACATTCTTCTGAGAGATTCAATATACAGACATGGAAAAGGAAGATCATTTATAGAGGCAGATCAAGCTAACATCCAGGGGGATTAGGAAAGGCCCTCAGGAGGAAGAAGCTCCTAAGTTTATCCTTAAAAGAACATCAGAATTCTAAGAGAAGATGAACAGGGAGTATATTCCAAATGAGATGCAGTAGATTTGCTGCTGGAGAACCTGGGTTCAAATCCCAACCTTGGACTAGTCACAACCGTCTTGGGCCTCTCAATTCTTCATCCGCACTACCAAGGGTTGGACTAGATGACCTCTAGATGAGTCTGTTCCACTCAGCTGTGGCCCACAGTAAGGGAGATTCTCTGTGCAAAGCTATAACCATGGCAGATGGAATGCCAAGTTCTGGGTCCATCAAGTTACACAAGTTTGACTGAAGCATGGTGTTTCCAATAGAGAGTTATGTGAGATAAGGAAGTTTTAAAGTACCTATGATGGAGGCTTTAAAATCCCAGGCTGAGGAGTTTGCATTTTATCCCAGAGGTAGTAATAAGCCACTGAAGATTCTTGAGTAAGGAAGGAAATAGTGTAGTCAGAGTTGTGCTTTAGGGAGATAATTTTAGCAGCTGTTCAGAGAATGGATTAGCAAAGACTGGGAGTTGGAAAGCAAGTTGGAAGGTCCAGACAAGGTGAAGAGGGCCTAAATTAGGGTGTTGACTATGGAGACAGAAGAAAGAGATGTTGAAGAAGTAAAATAAGACTTGTCAACTAATTAGACATGGAGTGTGAGGAAGAGGAAATTGTCAAAGATGACTCCTAAGTGGTGAATCTGGGTAATTGGAAGGATGGTGGCACTTTTTCAACAAAAATAAGAGAGTTTGGAAGACACTGATATGGGGCAAAGGTAATGAATTCTGGTTTAGAAATGTAGAGTTTGAAATCTCAGTGGGACTTGTAGGTAATTAGTGATGCGAAACAGGGACTCAGGGTGGGGTGTGTGTTGTGTGTTGTGTGTGTGTGTGTGTGTGTGTGTGTGTGTGTGTGTGTGTGTGTGTGTGTGTGTGTGTGTGTGTGTGTTGTCCCAAAAGTCCTAGTGCAGTTTTAATATTTAAACTTCAGAAACATAAATGCAACAAACTTTCCAAAAGAATATTTAAAATTTGTTTACATTTATATACTTCTGCGAATTTTGAATAATTTTTTTTTAATTCTTAAGACAGAGCACCTTGTCGTTATGTGGAATTGTCGAGCACATGGAACAATTTCTGGATGATGTTTTCTCAGACCAGTAGATCATTAGAGGAAGTCTTTTTGCTTGGCCAACTTGTTTATCTCATCTGTCTCCAGTAGACATTTTCTTGCGGATTCACATCAAAACTGTCACGTATGCAACAAAACCTTTTTCTTTAAATGGCCTTAAGACTAAGTTAACAAATGCAATCCTTTGAGTCACTGAGCAAGTGATCAGAGTTTTACCAAATTCGAAAATTGACAGTAGTGCTGTGGAGCACAAGTTGAACATGACAAGAAACATTGATATTTTAAAATAACCTTTCAAATGTTTTCTGTAAGTTTGTATCATAGTTAGGGCACCTAGGTGGGCCTGGAGTCAGGATGAATCCTGTTGCTGAGTTCAAATTTGGCCTCATTTTCCTCATCTGTAAAATGAGCTGGAGAAGAAAATGGCAAACCACTCCAGTATTTTTGCCCAAGAAAGCCATAAATGGGATAATGAAGAGTCAGATACAACTGAAAAACAAATATGTATTTATACTCATAAAGTTATTAAAGAGTACTGCTATGCTAAGATTTTGGGTACATTATATATATGTATGTATATGTATGTGTGTGTATATATATATATACACACACACACATTTGGGAGTCATCAGTATGAATGAAGCCTAGAAGCTTAGCTCACCAAGACAAAAGAGAAGAGAGGCCTGGACCTGGTTTCATTCATACTGTGGTGCAGACATGGATGACTATCTGAATTAGAACCATTCACTGAAGCAGTCTGGGACTTTCCTCATTTAATTTTCTATATTTGGCACCAAAGACCTATCTTGATGACTGATTATGCAGTGCATTAGCACTAGTGAAGGGAATAGGGAAAAGATTCCACACAATACTTTTGTGTCCAAATGAGATTTATTAAAGAATGTACCGTGTGGCGAGCTCTACTATAGGCCTCAGGAGGTCTTCCAAATCTCTACCCATACTGAGATGGTAGAATGGTGGCTGCCAAGACAGTTTTCCAGCTTTCTGCTTTTGATGGAAAAAGTCCAACCTGTGATGGTGATTGATGGGAAGCAAAGTATTATCTATTACCTCTAGTTTCCTATCTGTGTTTTGGGATCATTGAGCACAGTTACTGGTTGAGGAGGATGAGAGCATGAGAATGGAATGTTTCCCATGCTGCTCTAGGTCAACTTCAAGAGGGATATGGAGGCTCTTATCTATGGTCTCAGGTGTCATGGGTGTGTTTGAGCCCAGATGGACACATCTATGAAGTTACATAACAGGGAAAACAGGGGGAAACCTCTGCTGGGTCTAGGGTTATAATCAAGGAAGAAATTAAATGGCATAGAGGGCTGGGACTTCAGTCAGAAAGACCTAAGTTCAAATCCAGCCTCAAACACTTACTAGCAGTGTGGCCCTAGGCAAGTCACTTAACCTCTGTTTCTTCAGTTTCCTCAATAATTCAGAAGTTTTCCTTCAGTTTCCCCTGCCTTGCAGGGTTGTTGTGAGGTTAAAATGAGATAATATTTATAAAATGCTTTGCACAGTGCCTGGCCCCTCACAGGTGTTATGTAAATGCTTTATTGCCTTCCCTTCTTTCCCCTTTCTAGGAAGTCCAGTAGGAGTGCTATGAGAGTGGCCTTGAGCCGCTCAAGTGAGAATCAAAGTGTCCCTGATGTTGGGGCTAGTGGCTTTTTCCGTTTGAGGTTCCACATGTGAAATCTAACTCAGATTCTATAAGGCAGAGGGGAATAACCTTCAAAAACACAAAATCCTAACACAAGAGGAAAAGTCTCAGTTCCCAATACCTCTTAATTCTAGTGCCTTCTCTCTGTTCATTATTTCCTATTTGTCTTATGTATAGCGTCTTCCTACATATGTGTTTGTTTTTTGTCTTCCCCATCAGACTGTGAGCTCCTTGAGGAGCCTCTTTTTATATCCCCAGTACTTAGCACATTGCCTCGTATATACTTGGTGCTTAATAAATGTTTATTGATGACTAAGATATGTATAAATGTGGGGGGGGAGTAATTGTGGGTACTGGTGTATATATACATATACATATGGGGATGGGTGTTGGTGTGTGTGTGTATATATATATGTGTGTGTGTGTGTGTGTATATATATATATATATATATATATATATATATATTTTTTTTTTACCCTAGCCAGCAATATCAATTGATTTATATTCCCCATAGGAAAGATGGCACATGCAGTCACCAGGTCCTAAGACCCAAACATATCCTTATACACGTCATAAGAAAGGTCATAGAAGCCACAAACCAGACAATCAATCCATCAATAAGCCTTTACTAAGTACCTACCATGTACCAAGTACTGCGTTAGGAGCTGGTAGGATATGAAGACAAAAGTGAAACCAGTCCCTGCCCTCAAGGAGCTTCCATTCTGTGGGGGAAGCAATATATTTTTATGTAAGTACATATGTATGTTATGTATGTATCCCAATAGATATGCATAGGTGCTATGAAATAAATTGCAGCATATATTTTAAGGGACCCTACAAATAATTCCGCAAAGGAGACTGAGGAAAGATTATTCAGACAGGAAAAATACTGGGAGAGACCAGTGTTACGAAAGGCAAGAGAAAAAGAAATGATCAACAGTGTCAAAAGCTACAGATGATTCGTCAAGGATATGGACTCAGGAAAAAAAAATTGGATTTAGCAATTTAGAGTGTTAGTTACCTTGAAGAAGGCTGTTTCAGGCAGGATCAGAAGCCAAATTTTAAGGTCTGAAAAGTGAGTAGGAGAAGAGGAAGTGAAGGTAATGAATGTAGATGGCTTTTTCTAGGTGTTTTGCTATGAAAGTGAGAAAGGGAAGCATGATATGGGATGTTAGCTTGTAAGAGATGACAGAATTTAGGATGGAGTTTGGGATGAGATGGCATGTTTGTAGGTAGCAAAAGAAAAAAAAAAGTTTAAATACTTATCCTAAGCAATGAATTGTGTATACTTATCTCCCCAGAGCCTAGCACAGTACATGGCATATGGTGGGCCATTAACATATATTTGACTGATTGATTTGGGGACCTGCAAAATATAAAAGAAGTTTCACATTTAATTTTTTGCCTAGTATATTTAATGCTAAAGAGGCAGGATGGTGAAGAGGGTCACCCTTGGAGTCAAAAAGAACTAGAATCCAGTCCTGCTTCTGAAAAATTTGCTTTGTGACCGTGACTAAATTACTTAACCTCTCAATACCCCAGAAAACTCTCTAAGACAATAGAACTGCCCATCAGTCAAAACTAGCAGAAGTTTCCCTGCATTGGGAGCTTCCCATACAGATGAAAATATTGGGGAATGCCCACTCTCCAAAAAATATATTGTTAAATGATGTTAATGATGTAGATAAATTATGCCATAAAATAGATGAGCTTTTTTAGTTCAATAAAAAGAAAATGTTTTCTGTGAATTATCTTTCCTAGAAAATCATAATGTTTAATTTAAAGCAGCAGAACACAGAGTAAAAAATAATTAACCCTAAAAAAATAAAGTGAATATGAAACAGTAACTTGTGGATCAAACAGGCCAATTATCACAGATCTATGAATCACAGCTTTGTACTATATTTGAATACCTGCAATTGGACTTAGAAAAATTTAGAAGCATTTATTCAGAACCAACAACATCCTCAGTATTAGCAGGGCTGGAAGGAATCCTTGATTGGCTTATGAGGGCTGAGCTCAAAGGGTTCCCAAGGAAGCACTGGGGGCCCAGTCTAGTGAAAGGCTAGGCTGAATGAAGGCAGATGCTCTTCAAGTCACTGAATCCCAGCAGAGCCAAGGTCTCCAAAAAGCTCTGGAAGGGGATTCAGATGCACTTGGTATGAGCTGCCCTTTGGATTTTCTCATCTCTTTTGCGGTTAAATCTTTTCACGTAACTGCTACTGCTCCTGAGCAATCCATCTCCAGGCCTTAGACGTCCTTGTAACACCTGCAGCAGAGCTGTGGAGAGCTGCCTTCTCTTGTGGTAGATGTGACCCATTACCTGCTGCCTAAAAAAGAACTAGAATATAAATGAGTCAGGCCGGATGTCAGCCGAGTGAAAGATGGTGGGAAAGAGAAGAGAATGTTGTAGAAGAAGCTGATGACGTGATTGATTTCTACTCTGTCAGTCAGATTCTCTTCTGAACCCATCCCAATATATTTTCCTTTTGCTAACAATGTTGTTTTTTTCTGGAAAGACTTACATGAACTGATGCAAAGTGAAGTGAGAAGAACCAGGAGACTATTGTACACAGTAAGATGTACAATATTTTGCAATGATCAACTGTGAATGACTTAGCTATTCTCAGCAATACTCTGATACAAGATGATTCCAAAGGACTTGTGATGAAAAAATGCTATCCACCTCCAAAGGAAAAACGGATGTAATCTCAATGCACATCAAAACATGCTATTTTCCACTTTTTTTTTTTCATGTTTTTTTTTCTTCTGGTCTGTGTCTTCTTTCACAACATGACTAACATGGAAATATGTTTTGCTTGATTGTAGATATATAACCTATATTGAACTGCTTACCATCTCAGGGAAGGGTGAGGGAAGGGAGGAAAGGAGAGAATTTAGAACTTAAAATTTAAAAAAAAAATGAATGACAAAAAATGTTACACATATAATTGGGGGAAATGTTATTCAAAAAAATAAAAAGTTTTTTTTAATGGTGGGGTTGTTTCTAGATTGCCCATCCCTGAAGTGAAAAAGAAACATCTGTGTGGATGGGCTTTAAATGGAATGTACTCTCAAGTATATTGTATTTTATAAAGATCCTGGCCATTTTTTAGTAACCAAAAAGTAGAGGAGAAAACGTGGAGTTGTCAATAGCCTGTAGTATTTGGATGTGGCTGTTCAAATCCAATTCTTGACAACTTAGAAGCTGTGTGATCCCTGGAAAGTCACTGAGTCTCTCTGTGGCGACCCTCTAAGTTCTACAAGTGGGTTTAGGGGAAAGGAATTCCTGCATCAACCATGTTTTCTCAGTGGACACGACAGAAAGAAGATTCTGAAGTTTCTCCCTTTCAGAATATTAAAATCTGGTATGAAGTAAGATATGCATACATACAAGGTTACCTTTGGGGAGCTTAATTACCAATTTTTAAGTCTGCATATGGCTTATTGCAGCTGGAAGAATCCAATACCAGCTCGTGAACTCGGAAGAAGTCATCTGGGGTGACATAGAGGCAGTGTGTCTTGTACAGCCCGTGACTGTTGACCAGCAGAGAGACCAGCTCATTGCCTTCACCAAGCACTTCTTAATCACAGACGATTCCATTCATTTCTATTTTCAAGATTTAAAAAAATAAAAGGTTTGAAGGGGGGAAAAAGCACAAAACTGATTTCTTTCTGCAATCCCAGATTTTTCAATGGCCTCAGCTGACCTGAGCTATCTGATAGTTGCCTCTCTTCTCCCCTTGGTTCTGCTGGAAGACTGGCCTATCTTGGCCTATCTTCACTTAAGCATGCACTTTCCCATCCTTGGAGGAGCATGGGGCTGAACTTGGAGTCAAGAAGACTCAGGTTTGAATACTTCCTCTAACACTGTTTAATTAGCTCTGTTACCCTGGGCAAGCTATTTCACTTCCCTATGCCCCAGTTTCTTATTCTGCACAAGAGGTAAATGCCCAGTAGTATCACAGGGTTGGTGTAAGACTCAAAACAGATTATGTATACTCCAGCTATAGAGCTGGAAGGGATCTCTGAGGCCCTCTACTTCAACCCCCTCATTTTACAAATGAGGAAACTGAGGCCCAGGGAATTTAAGTGACTTGCCCAAGGTCATAAAGGTAGCTATACATCAGAGCCATATTTGAACCCAGGTTCTCTGACTCTCACATCAATGTTCTTTCCATTTAACTATGCTGCCTCCACACTTCACACACAATGTAAATGCCAATTACTGTAATTCCTAAAAGCAAGATAATAGACTTCTATCAAATGCCAATTTAGTAGGGCTCTGCACTGAAATTCTAGATGTTTGTAATAGCCTTAAGGGTGACCAGGATTTGAGTGGTAGTAACCAAGTTACCAAATTTACTCATGCAATAGAATTCCTTTTCATACATATTCCATTTGCACCCAGTCTCACAGGTTTTCTCCATGTGGCCAATATCTAAAAGGAGAGAAGAGAAGGATTATAGAAACAAAGGTGGATGAAATTCTAGGCAGCTGGGTAGTGAATTATATGAAGTGTTAGACCTAGAGTCAGAAAGCCTTGAGTTCGAATCTCACCCCAGACATTCCATTTGCTTTGTGACCTGGGGCAAGTCCCTTAACCTCGGTTTCTTCATCTGTCAAATACTGCTAATAATACCATCTACCTCACAAAGTTCTTGTGATGTAAAGATAATACATATAAAGCACCATGCAAAACTCATTATTATCATCCTTCTATTTTTAAAACTGCCATTCTGTTTGCGTTTTATTCTGAAAAGTGACCATTTGAGTCACAACTAGATTTAAGAGAATGCTTCAAAAGCAAATCCTGCCAGATTCCTATGGTTTTAACTGCATTTAGATCACCATAGAGGGATGAGAGCTGGGGGGTCACTACAGTAGTGAAAACGTGGGCTTTTAAGCATCTCTAGGTTCACAGATCATCACAAATGCTGGTAATGCATCTGTGTTTGGAAGAAAAGGGGGAAGATTTTATCGATTGGTTCTTTGACAGTAGATAAGCCTGGGAAAAAATTATCCTTATAGACCAAAGAAGGGCAGCAAGGTACAGAAAACAACTAGGTACTGGAAATGAGACAGAACTTTGCCATTTACTAGCCATGTGGCCTGAGCTTAACCTAAAAGCTGGATGGGACCCATAAGCCCATCTAGTCCATTCCCCTCATCTTATTGAACTGAAGCTTGGAGATGAAAGTGACTTAACCAAGGTCACATAGCTAATTGATCAATCAATAAATAAACATTTATTAAGCCCCTGCTATGTGCCGGGCACTGTGCTAGGTGCTGGGGGATACAAAAAGAAGCAAAAGACAATTCATGAGCTCAAGAAGCTTACAATCTAATGGGGGAGACTAGAAGATCTACTGATTTTTTGCAGGGCTTCTTAAACTTTTTCTACTTGTGGCCCTTCTTCCCTGAGAAATTTTTACATGACCCTGGGTATATGAGTATACAAGTTAGGTGTACAAATCAAATATTAACTGAAAATAAATCATAAAGAAATTTATTTTAAAACAATTCTTTGGTATACATATAACCTTAACATTAATTAAAGATGAAAGCAAGTTTGCATACTAATGAGATGGATGTGCATGTTTCTTTTTACATAAAGAATTAAATTTTGATAGAATATTTGATACTGCAAGATGTAGACCATCTTCAACTTTTTTCAGAGTTGATCAGTACTTTGATTTTATAATCATCAATGCTGAGGACACTGCTTCACATAAATGTGTAGTACAAAATAGCAAAAGTGTGTTTAGGACCATTTCAGAAATTGTTGGAAATTCTGTCCTAATCCCAAGCCAAAATTCATTTGATGACTTTTTAAGAAACTCACGTTTTAAACCTGTGTCGCCTGATAACTTGGCAAATTCTTCTTGAACTTTTAATGGCAGATGATTGACATTTTTTTATTTCAGTTGAGTATGGTTTATAAACCCAACTTAGTGTTTTAGAATCAAAATTTGAAGGGAAGTATTTCTGGGAACTGTGTTTCCAAGCACTTCAGATAATAAACTATAACTCTTACAATTAAATCTTTGGAAAGGTTATTTTCAATAAAAATCATCTGTAACTGTAAACATTTCTAAAGAACCGTTTTCCACCCTATTCTTCCATACGTTAATTTTTTAGTAAAACTTTCAATTTTATCTTTTAACATAAATATGTTACTTTTTTTCTTGAAGTGACATGTTTCAATCATTGAGTTTGAAAACATCCAACAAATAACACAATTTTGAAAGCCATAAGTTGTTATGAAAAAAATTAACAAAATAGGATTTCTGCTCAGTAAAAATATAACAACTTCATCTTTAAATTTCAATAATCTATTTAAACTTCACCCTCTTGAGAGCCACCTTACCTCTGCATGTAATAATAAGCTTTTGTAATTGGAGTCCATGTCTTTTCAAAGGTTTGGAAACAAATGACTATTAAGGGCATGGTTTTTAATGAAGTGAATGATTTTGATAGAATGGCGAAATACACCTAACTGTGGGGGTTTTTTGGGGGTATGAATGCCTCCCGATGGACCATGCAGAGGATAAAAGTGATACGTTTTTAACTAACTTTTGCTACAAAGCCAACATTCTCACCCATCGTTGCTCCAGCTCCATCTATACAGAGTCCAATGTAATTCTTCCACTGTAAACCTTCATTTGTGAAAAATTCATCAACTTTAAGATATATATCTTCCCCTCACGTGTGCCCTTCCAAAGGGCAACAAAAGAATAATTCCTCACGTATGCTTCTTTCATAAATATGTCTTACATTAAGTAACAACTGTGCCATGTTAGAAACATCAGTTGTTTCATCTGACTGAATTGCAAACTTTGGGCTATCCTTAAGCCTGGTAATAAGCTGCTGGAATTGGTCATTACTAATTTCGGAAATTCTTTTGGAAACAATATCATTTGATAAAGCAATTTTGTGAATTTCATCCCCATACTTTTTCCCGTGAACTATTTCTGAGATTTTAATAGTAGCAGGTAACACCAGATCTTCTCCTATCACACAGGGATTTTTAGTTTTTTCAATTAAATAAGAAGTTTCTGAAGATTCAAGTAAATACTTTTTGTTGACAGTAACAAATTTCTCAAAACATTGGTTTTTTTTATTTGAAGATTTTAGAAGTCATTCAAAATATTCCTTTGGTTTATTGTAGTATACTGCATGGTTGGTATTAAGACGTCATTTTAGTTTGGCTAGTTTCTTGCTCTCTACAGCCAAAACTTCATTACGAATTAAGCAAAGAGGTTTTTCCACACCATCATCACTATTAGAAGTAAATCCATATTGCAAAAATGATTCAACATATTTTCTTTTTCTTGTCAATTTAGGTGTACTACAACCTGGTAGCGAAGCCTCTGCCGCATTGTTATCGGTATTTTTACCTTCTTCTGTCTAAATTTAGCCACTTTGACCAAAAAATGTTTGCCCTAAAACATAAATAGTGCTAATAATTTCTCAAATAAATACTAGCTTTAATTTATGAACTTACACTTGTTTGTGTTTAATTTTTTAAAATTGATGTTCACACTTACATATACATACAGTGGTGATGGTGGAGAAATATTTTTAAAGGGCTTTTGTCTTTACTTGCTGCAATTATGTTTCTGTAAAAGAAGATAACAGCAATTTGAACAAACATTCTAACACAATACAATCCAAAGATACACTAATTTGATACTTACATGCTGAGGAATGATGGTAGGAAAGTATTAAAAGTCTTTATTTTTCATAATTAAACTACTACGTTTCTGTAAGAGCAAAAAACTCTGTATGTACATTAAAAACACTAGAATTTGTAATATACAAGAGTCTCGAATCTGAGCCGAGGTGTTTCTGGCAGCATTTGTTGGCACTGTGGCGTGTGAGGGCACGCACGGTACAAAGTATGCATGGTGGTGCAGAGGATAGAGCACAGGCCCTGGAATCAGTTCAAATATGACCTATAAATCTATCAATTAAGCAACAAGCATTTAGTTAGCTCCTACCAAGAACCAGGCACTGTGATAGGCCCTGAGGACACAAAGACAACATTGTTAATGGACTCTGTCCCAACAAGTTAATTACTTTTACTGTCTTGAGTGACAGGGACAAAAAACAGTTGGGTGGAACTTTCAAAGTGGCAATGATGTCTGAAGGATGAAAGGATAATGAAGAAGTGTAGGCTGGAGAAGGGAAGATTCAGAGAGCTTTCTTCCAATATTTGAAGGGTTATTAGATCAAACCTTCCTTCCACTCATGACCCCTCTTTTGTTTGAGTAGCATTCATTGGCTTTGAGTGGCCTGAAGGCATGTGCAGTGCAAAGTGTGCATGCTGTGTGTTCAGAACCAAGGCTGCAGGGAAGTCACACAATGCAACACGCACAAGCACTGCCAGAAACACTTTGGATTCATTACATGTTTGATTTTTAATTAATTTTTGGTCATTGTATGTTCAGAAACTTTTTACTGTTGCCAATTTTTTGGTGACCTCATATGGGGTCACAAATCACAGTTTAAGAAGTACTGGTTAAGGGCAGCTAGGTGGTGCAGTGGATAGAGCACCAGCCCTGAAGTCAGGAGGACCTGAGTTCAAATGTGGCTTCAGATACTTCCTAGCTGTGTGACTCGGGCAAGTCACTTAGCCCCAAATGCTTCACTCAAAAAAAAAAAAAAAAGGACTGGTTAAGACGGAAGAGGGTTTACCGTTGTCCTCAGTGGCTCCTGAGAGCAGAATTAGAAGTAAGGGGGAACAAAATTGCAGAGAGGCAAATTTAGGCTTGATTTTTGTTTGTCTATTTGTTTTAAACTGCCTAACAAGAAAAGTGGAATAGGCTGCAGTAGGAAAACATGAAGTCTCTGCAGGGAGAAGAGAGAGACCAGAGAATCTGCTGAAACAGAGAAAGGTGCCAGAGAGGAGAAACAGCCATTATTCTGAGGCTGGAGAAGAGACAATTGAAGGTCTGAGGGAGAGGAATGACGACCGGGTGTCTATACAAAGAAAAAGAGAACCGCTGGTTAGTTGGAGAGAAAAGAGAGATCCAAGGTTTTGAGAGGGGAGAGGGAAGAGAATCCAGACTGTGCCAAGAGAAATAAGAACACTAAGAGTCGGTAAGGAGAGAAATAGGAATCATAACAAGCTGTGAAGAGACAAATAGAGGGCCAGCCAGCTTATTAGTCAAGAAATAAGGGCACTGAGAACCTTCCACAGACTGACAACACCCTACCTTTCCAGCCTGATGGTATATTACTGCTCCATCTGACCCAGGCTTCACTCTAACCCAAAACAAAGACTTGCTCTCCCACTTCCTTAGCTTTGCTTATAGCAGGGGTGGGGGAACCAGGGATCTGTTCTATGAGGTTTGGATTCAGTCAATAAAAGACTTGAGCACTTGAGAACCTAGAGAGCCACACGTGGCCTCGAGGCTGCTGGCCCTCCCCCCCCCATGGCTTATACTGTACCCTGTGAAGAAGCAGCATGGTACAGCAGATAGAGCACTGGCTCTAGTCAGAGGATCTTGGTTCAAGAACTACCTCTGATGCTTAATTGCTGTGTGACCTTGAATAAGTCACTTAACTTTCCTCCCCTATAAAATGAGGGGTTGCGCTAGATGATCTCTAAGGATCCTTGTAGCTCTAGACCTATGAATCAATGCCTGCAATTTTCTCCCTTCACCTCTTAATCTGTTAAATAGTACATTCCAATTAAAAGCCAAAGTAAA